GATAGGATGTCGGAGCCAGCAAAGCAGAAGCCAGACCCTCGACAGCAGTGAGCTCACCACAGTCAAGGCCATGCTGGGGAGCCCTGTTGCGGCCCAGAGCCACTGTCCACAAGGGACATCCCTTTCCTCTAGCTCGAGTGGGGGCTTCAGAGCCTTTCTCTTCAACCTTCGGTGTGTGCTGCTGGTTTTATAGTCACAACCTTCAGGGTCTTGTGACATTCTGGGCCTAAAGCCACCTTCAAGACAGCAAAAACTGGGGAACTCCCTGGTGGTCCAGTGGTTACGACTCGGCGCTTTCACTACGGTGGCCCGGGTTCAATCCCTGGTCGGGGAACTAAGATCCCCTAAGCTGCAAGGCCCGGCCCCCCCAAAAAAAGAGAGCAAAAACTGAGAGTCTGACCCACACTTACACAGTTCCATGATTTACACAGTCATACTCGATAAATGGTACTAAGTCAATCAGATAGATATTCATTTGGAAAACACCTACCTCACACCATATACAAAAACTAATCCCAGATGAACCATAAACCTAATTGTAAAAGGTAAAATATGAAAGCTTCTAGAAGAAAATACAGGGATTTCCACAGCCTTCATAGCCTTGGGGTAGACACAGATTTTAAAAATAGACACAAAACACATTGATCCAAAACAAAAAGACTGATAAATTGAAGTTCATTAAAATTAAGAACTTCTGGGACTTCCCTCGTGGTCCAGTGGGTAAGACTTCGAGCTCCCAATGCAGGGGGCCTGGGTTTGATCCCTGGTTGGGGAACTAGATCCTGCATGCATGCCACAACTAAAAAGTCCACATGCTGCAACTAAAAACCCCACATGCCACAATGAAGACCCCGCGTGCCGCAATTAAGACCCGGTGCAGCCAAAGTAAATAAATAAATAAATAATTTTTAAAAATTAAGAACTTCTGTTCAACAAAAGATACCATTAAGAGACTTAAAAGGCCAGCCACAGACTGTAAGAAGATATTTGCTATAAACATATATTTTTCTCCAGTAAAAGACACATCCACAGTATATAAAGAGCCCCTACAAATCAATAAGGAAAACACATACACTCAATTTAAGAATGAGACAATTGTAGTGGGGTGGATGGACCTAGAGTCTGTCATACAGAGTGAAGTAAGTCAGAAAGAGAAAAACAAATACCGTATGCTAACACGTATATATGGAATCTTAAAAAAAAAGTGGTTCTGAAGAATCTAGGGGCAGGACAGAAACAAAGATGCAGACGTAGAGAATGGACTTGAGGACACGGGGAGGGGGAAGGGTAAGCTGGGATGAAGTGAGAGAGTGTCATGGACTTATAAATACTACCAAATGTAAAACAGATAGCTTGTGGGAAGCAGCCACATAGCACAGGGAGATCAGCTCAGTGCTTTGTGACCACCTAGAGGGGTGGGATAGGGAGGGTGGGAGGGAGATGCAAGAGGGAGGAGACATGGGGATATATGTATATGTATAGCTGATTCACTTTGTTATAAAGCAGAAACTAACACACCACTGTAAAGCAATTATACTCCAATAAAGATGTTAAAAAAAAAAAAAAGAATGAGACAATGACTTTAAAGGATGCTTCCACAAAGCAAATGAAAAGGTATCAATATAATTAGTCATCAGCGAAATGCAAATTAAAACCACGGTGAGATACCACTACACACCTACTAGAGTGGCCAAAATGTAAAAGATTGATAATACCATCGACTATGATAAATAGCAATGAAAATGCTCATATATTGCTACTGTTGAGTATAAGTTAGCACAAGCACTTTAGAAAACCGTTTGGCAGTATCTATTAGAGCTAAACATATGCCTACCCAGTGACCTAACAATTCCACTCTTAGATGTACACCCAGAAATGAGTACACAGGTTCACTGAAAGGCGAGTACGAGAATGCTCACAGCTGCTTTCTTCATAATAGCCCAAACCTGAAAACAACCCAAACGTCTGTTAATGGGAGAATGGATAACGATGTTGTGATATATTCTTACAGTGGAAGACTACAGAACGATGGAAAAGAGCAAACTAGAGCTTCAGGCTACAGGTACAGATGAATCTCTCAGGCATAGTGTTCAGTGAAACAAGTGGAAGAGTACATACTGTATGATTCCATCTATATGAAGTTCAACAACAGGACAAACTTTATGGACTAGAAGTGAGAATGCTGGTTTCCTCTGGAGCAGGGCAGTGAGTGGCAGAAGGCATGAAGGAAGCTTCTGGTGGCTGGAAATGTTCTGACTCTTGATGGTGGTTACAGAGTGTGTATAATATATAATTATTCACTGAGGTGTACACTGAGGCTCTGGGTACTTTAAATACACCTTTCCTCAAAAAATTTTTAAAGGGGAAAAGTGGGACAATTCAATGGGGAAATAATAGTCTTTTCAACAAATGGTGCTCATACAGCTGTATAACCACATGCAAAAAAATGAAGTTAGATCATAGATTTAATATGTAAGAGATGAAACTGTAAAAGTTTTAGAACACATGGGAGTAAATCTTCACGACCTTGGATTAGGAAATGAGTACTTAGGTATGACACCAAAAGCACAAGTGACGAAAGAAAAGACAGACAACAGCAAAATTTAAAACTTTTATGCTTCAAATGATATAATCAAGAAAGTGAAAAGACAACCCACAGAATGGGAGAAAAATCTGCAAATCATTTATCTAATAAGGGTCTAGTGTCCAGAATATATAAAGAACTATAACTCAATTTATTAAATAACCCAATTTAAGAATGGGCAGGGACTTCCCTGGTGGTGCAGTGGATAAGACTCCACGCTCCCAGTGCAGGGGGCCCGGGTTTGATCCCTGGTGGGGGAACTAGATCCCACATGCACGCCGCAACTAAGAGTTCGCATGCCACAACTAAGACCCAGAGCAACCAAATAAATAAATATAAAAAAAAACAGTCTGTGACAACTGTAATCTGTTAAAAAAAAAAAAAGAATGGGCAGATGTTTTGAATGGACATTTCTCCAAAGAAAACACACAAATGGCAATAAGCATTTAGATGAAAAGATGCTCAGTATCATTAGTCATCAGGGAAATGCAAATCAAAACCATAATGAGATACCACTTGTCACCCACTAGGATGGCTATAATAAAAGCAAAACCAACAAAAACAGACAGTAAGAACTGTTGGTGAGGATGCAGAGGAATGCACTGCTGGTTGAAATATAAAACAAGGCAGCTGCTCTTGGCAGTTCCTCAAAAGGTTATATATAGCTACCATATGAGCCCAAAATTCTACTTCAAGGTATGAATCCAAAAAAGTTAAAAACATATGTCCAAGCAAAAAATTATACATGAATGTTCATAGTAGCGTTATTCATAATAGCCAAAAGGTAGGAAAAACGCCAATGTTCATTAACTTATTAATGGATAAATAAAATGTGATACATCCATCTAATGAAATCTACAATGGGATACTGCTCAGCAATGAGAAGGAATGAAGTACTGATACAGGCCACAACATGGATGAAACATTTTGCTAACTGAAAGAAGCCAATCGCAAGTGTCACATATTACATGATTCCATTTATGTAAAATGTCCAGAACAGGCAAATCTATAGACAAAGGAGATTAGTGGTTACCAGGGGTTGAGCGGGGTGAGGTAGGAGGGGAAAGGGACAGGAGTGATTGCTAATGGGTAGGGGGTTTCTTTTATGGGAGATGAAAATGTTTTAAAATTAGACTGTGATGATGGTTGTACAAATCTGTGAATATACTAAAACAAATGGAATTACACACTTTAATTAGGTAAATTGTATGGTATGTGAATTATATCCCAATAAAGCTGTTAGAAAAAGAGAGTGGATATGCCTCTTCTATAGTCTATTTCATGGCGCTGGCCCATCCTGAGTTATAGGATCTGAAAGCTACAGGCCAAAGGATGTGTAGACGTAGGCCAAAGGATGTGTGTGGATGGAACTGAAAGAGCAAGGTTATATCCCCAACACAAGCCCCAGACAGTGGCTAGGATGAGCTCTGGGTTTTATGTGTCTGTGTCCACGTGCACTCCAATTCCTACTTCTGCTTTTCATGACCCAAGAATAAATGTGAAATGGCACAAGAGCTTGGGTTAACAGCTTGACTACTGCTTCCCGGGGCCCACAGTTCCAGCCTCTACCCTCGGGGCTCTCTCCAGGACAGTCCCAGAGCTGGCTTCCTCGGGTCATCAACACACTGGATTGGCTTATTCTAGAACAGCGCTGTCCCACAGAAATACAATGCAAGCCACATAGGTCACCTTAAACGTTCTAGTGGCCACATTTTAAAAAGTTTAAAAAAACAGGTGAAATTAATTTTAATAATATATTTTATTTAAAATACATATTTTAAATGTTTTCATTTTAACATGATCAATAATCAAATTACGAATGACACATTTTACATTCTTTTTTTCCTACTAAGTCCTCAGAATCCAGTGTGTATCTTACTCAGCTTATGTCAATTCGGACGAGCCACGTTTTAAGTGCTCCACAGCCACACGTGGCTAGTGGCTGCCCAAGTGGACAGCGCAGCCCGAAATCTGCTTCGTGTTGCAAAATGAGTATTTTCAAAGCCTGCTGCTTTATGAAAATGTTAATTTAATAATAACAAGTACTGAGGAGGAAACCAAAGCTCAGTGAGGTGAAGTGCCTCGCCTAAGGCATAAGGGCATAACCCCTGAGTGGCAGGGGTTAAGAGAAGAGAGTCTGCAGTTGGGTGAGAATTACCTGCTCCACAGGGTCCATGTGCAGATGACAGGAGACACCCATGGGAAGAGATGGGCGCACAGCCTGGCTCACATCCACCACTCACACCCCAAGGAACATGAGCTCCATCACTACAATGCTATTAATACCAAACCATGCAGGGCGAGAGGCTCGGGGGAAAAAGCAGAGATCACTCAGGGTCACTAGCTGGAGAAACTCCGCACCGCCTCTGAGACATTCACCGACACCCCCCCAAAAAACCCAGCTTGTACCACTCACCGGACTGGTGGGCAAAGGAACCACAAGGCTCAGCCGAGGTCCATCCTCCTCCGGAAGCTTCCGCTGGCCACTTCCTTGGCCGACTGCTCTGGTCGCCTCCCTCACAGGACTAGGAGGCTGCTGGCCTGAAGTGCTCCCCAAAAGGACAGCTTGGGCACTGCCCGGCTGTGGCCAGCCCAGGGCGCCAGGTGCCTGGGAAAGCGGCTCCTGCTTGCGGTCCCCATCTCGAGTCCCAGGGGATGCTTGGGCGGGGCGGGACTCTGCAGGTACCTCAAGGCGCAGGGGTGTGCTGGTGTCCAGGCCGCGGAGGGCGAGCAAGGCCTGCAGCGTGGGAACCTCCGCTTCGTGGCTCAGTCTGTTGGTTGGCACAGAGTTCACCTGGGCTTTGCTGAATTCTGACAACACCCTGGAAGTTTTTAAACAAAGAAACCTGTGTGACGGGCTTGTCAGCTAGAATGCCCAAGGCTAAGTAGAAAACTGCTGTTTTGTGATTGAACAAAAAACAAAACAAAACAATCCCCAACCCCTTAATCATCGCTGTGCTCCCAGCTCATACACACAGACACTCCCACCAAAGTTGCTCCCCGGCTGGGACTTGGGCAGGTTGGGTAGGCAGGTGAGTTGTGCGGCCCAGGATCTCAGCTGACAAAGCCCACAAAGCAGAGGACAGGACTAGAGGCGAATGGGAACTGACCGCCTTTCACCCTCTGAACAGGCTAACGGTGGGCCTGCAGAGCTGGCTCAGCCAAATAGCTGTGTGGCCGGTCCCTGCCCCAAGGCGACCTCAGCAGTGCCTCGGTGAACAGCATGTCTCAGAGCTGGGCTCCAAGACTCCGCTCCCTGGGACACGGGCTTGGGTGAAGTGAGGACCCGCTTTGCTCCTGGAACAGTAACTGGGCAGCAGGGTCGGGGTGAGGGGCTGGGTGTGGATCCAGAGAAGCCTCAAATCCCCAGAAGCTGCTGCTGGAGCACAGTGCATACAAGCTGTGCAGTGTGTGTGCCCGTGTACATGTGGATGTGTTCCTGATGGGACTGGCACTTTCTGCCCCTCAGTGGTGTGTCTGGGGCCGGGGGAGCCAATGTCACTGCCTTTGTGTACACACACACACGCACACGCACACACACACAGAGTTCTGGGACTTCTGGAATGTGCGCTGGCTAGTGGCTGCTTCTCCCTCCCTCTCCTGAGGCTTCCGAGAATCCAAGTTCTGTTTCTGAAGTAAACCTATTTGCTGTCTCCACCTCTGCTTATGAATCCAGTGAGGACATCATGGGCAAATACAGGTTCTGGTGGCAAGAAAGCTGTCTGGGGCCCAAGAGATCTCACCATCGCACGTATCTGCCCTAATGGCTTAGACTGGGTGCAGAAGACACATCAAACTCCCCTTAATGCGGTACGGAAAAGAGGATTTTAGAACTCAAGTTTTCATCTGATTGTCTTCTAGGTGAGCTCTGCTCTTATTTACACCATCATAACCCCAAACAACATTTTAAGACATTTTAGACAAGAAGAGGTGACCAACCCATGCATTTCTGGGCAACTGATTTTCAACAGAGGTGCTGAGACATTTCAGTGGGGAAAGAATAGTCTTTCAACAAATGGTGCTGCGATAAGTGAATAGTTCCATGCAAAAGAATAAAGTTGGACTCACCTCACACCATATAAAAAAATTAACCCCAAATGGATCAAAGACCTAAAGGTAAGAGCTAAAACTATAAAACTCTTAGAAGGAAAGAGGTGTAAAGCTTCATATCTTTGGATCAGGCAGTGGTTTCTTAGATATGACATCTAATGCATAAGTGACTAATAAAAAATATAATAAAAATATTTGCATATAAAATGTGCAAATATTATCATATATCTGATAAGAGTCTAGTACCCAGAATATACAGAGCTCTTACAACTCAACAATAAATAACCCAATTTAAAAACAGGCAAAGGATGGGACTTCCCTGCTGGTCCAGTGGTTAAGAATCTGCCTTAAAATGCAGGGGATGCGGGTTTGATCCCTGGTCAGGGAACTAAGATCCCACATGGCACAGGGCAACTAAGCCCACGTGCTGCAAGTAGAGAGAAACCCGTGGGCCGCAACAAAGAGCCCATGTGCCACAACTAAGACCCGACGCAGCCAAAAATAAATAAATAGTACAGATGAACTGGTTTGCAGGGCAGAAATAGAGACACAGATGTAGAGAACAAACGTATGGACACCAAGGGGGGAAAGTGGTGGTGGTGGTGGTGGTGGGGTGGTGGGATGATTTGGGAGATTGGGATTGACATGTATACACTGATATGTATAAAATGGATAACTAATAAGAACCTGCTGTATAAAAAAATAAATAAAATTCAAACAAAAATAAATATTTTTAAAAAGAAAAAAGCACAATGCTTTCAAAAAATAAATAAATTAAAAGTAGGCAAAGGAAAAAAATAGGCAAAGGATTTGAATAGACATTACTCCAAAGAAGATATATAAATGGCCAATGAAGACATGAAAAAGTGCTCAGAATCATTAGACAATAGTGAAATACAAATCAAAACCACAAGGAGATACTACTGTATGCCCAACAGGATGGCTATAATAAAAGAGACAGAGAGGGCTTCCCTGGTGGCGCACTGGTTGAGAGTCCGCCTGCTGATGCAGGGGACGTGGGTTCGTGCCCCGGTCCGGGAAGATCCCACATGCCGCGGAGCGGCTGGGCCCGTGAGCCATGGCTGCTGAGCGTACGCGTCCGGAGCCTGTGCTCCGCAACGGGAGAGGCCACAAGAGTGAGAGGCCCGCGTACGCAAAAAAAAAAAAACAACAAAGAGACAGAGAATAATAAGTACTGGCAAAGATGTGGAGAAATTGGAACACATATATATTGTCAGTGGAAATGTGAAATGGTGCAGCCCCTGTGGAAAACATTTGGTAGCTGCTCAGAAAGTTAAATATAGAGTTATCATGGGACTCAGTAATTCTACTCTTAGGTACTTACCCAAAAGAATTCAAAACATATGTCCACACAAAATACTTGTAAATGAATGCTCACAGCAACATTATTCATAATAGCCAAAAAGTGGGAAAAAATGTCCATTAATTAATGAATAAATAAACAAATTGTAATATATCCATACAATGGAATATTATTTGCCCATGATATGTGCTGTATAACGTGGTTGAACCTTGAAAACATTGTACTAAGTGAAAGAAGGCAGTCACAAAAGGCCACATACTGTATGACTCGATTGATATTAAATGTCCAGAAAAGGTAAATTCATAGCTAATGGGTAAGGGACTTCTTTACAGGATAATGAAAATGCTCTTGAAGTAGACAGCAGTAGACGTTGAATTCACGACCTTGTGAATATACTGAAAACCACTGAACAGTACCCTTTACAATGGTGAATGTTGCGGTATGTGAATCATATATTGATAAACAAACAGATGACCTCTCAGAGAAAGCTGTAAATGTGTTTGTGGAATAGTTACGGCGGGGACGCAGGTGGGGACTCGCTCTTGCTCTAAAAGCCACACTCTAAAAACAGACCCACAAAAAATCCAAGAGTGCAATTTGCAGCGAGTAGGCAATGATGAGTTCTGGAAAGAAAGGGGTAGTTTCCACAGGCAGAGGAGGAGGGGCATTTGCTAACCACTTCTATGTGTCCAAACCACGGGGCCCCCTTCTGAAATGAACTAGGGTGTCAGACTTTTTACAAGGTCCTCTGTGAGGTCCCGGCTCCTCATGGGCTCCCAGGAGGTGGTGTGGTGAGTGATTAAAAGCAGGGGCTCCCGAGTCCACCTGGCCTTGCTTAACACACGGCTGTGGGCCCCACAATGTGAACATTATGTTCATGGACTTAATTCCCTTATCTGGAAAATGGATGTGGTATCAGCACCCATCTTTTATGACTGTGACTAAGATTAAATGACATAATACAGGCAAAGTGCTTAGCACAGCGTCTGGCACAAAGTGATCAATAACTGTTAACCTCATTATCACTGATAAGGCTGCTTAGCCCCCGTGTACACAAACATAGACGTGTAAGGAAAGGAACAGATTTATTGAAATACTCACTAGCATTACCAAAACAGTTACCAATTAGAAGTGAATCCTAACCTATAAGAAAGATTTTAATGACAAGCGTAGACTGGGTGTTAGAATAAGTGACTGACTTAATGCTTAGAGAAATGTCACCAAACAGCAGGAAGCTTGTGTGATCAATTAGAGCTTCTGTCAAATCAAAACCAAGATCAAGGGGAATTCCTTGGCAGTCCAGTGGTTAGGACTCTGCACTTCCATTGAAGGGGGCACGGGTTCAATCCCTGGTCAGGGAACTAAGATCCTTCAAGCTGCAGGGCACAGCCAAAACAACCCCAAAAAAACAAAAAACCCAGGTCAAGGTGAAATGAAGCTCACAGAGCTTCACCAGAATTGGTGAAGGACTCAGTGAGAATAAGAGAGACACGTACATCAAGTGGAAAAAAGGGCTAGAGATGAGATTTTGAAGGAAAGGCAAGAGAAAGAACATTTTTAAAAATTTTGAGGAAAATGAAACATAGAAATGAAACTGGGGGAAAAGAAATGAAACTGAAACCACTACAGTCCTTCCACTTTGGTCTGGTTCAGGGCCATGTTTCCCAAAACCTTTCTATTCGAAAATTGTTTTTTTGTTTTTTTTTTTTTTTGGCTGCACCGCCCGGCATGTAGGATCTTAGTTCCCCAACCAGGGACTGAACCCAGGCCCCCCCTGCATTGGAAGCGCAGAGTCTTAACCACTGGACTACCAGGGAAGTCCTCTATTCGAAAATTTTTAAACTTTGTGCTTTCATTTAGAGAACAATCTGGGAAAAAAGTATATGTATTATAAATACTTATGTATGAAGTAAATTAAAAGCATGGCCTGGAGAATCTGAATGGCCACCTTATAAAGTACCCCTGACAAGTGATCCTGAGCCTGCGGTTTTCCTGAACATGCAGACTATTGTGTTGGTGATACACAGTATTATTTGGCAGTCAAGGGCCACTAATAAAAGCAAAGAGGGCTTCCCTGGTGGCGCAGTGGTTGAGAGTCCGCCTGCCGATGCAGGGGACGCGGGTTCGTGCCCCGGTCCGGGAAGATCCCACATGCCTCGGAGCAGCTGGGCCCGTGAGCCATGGCCGCTGAGTCTGTGCGTCCGGAGCCTGTGCTCCGCAACGGGAGAGGCCACAACAGTGAGAGGCCCGCGTACTGCAAAAAAAAAAGCAAAGAGGTAGGCTGCACATGCTAAGAATCATTTCCCCCAAGGGAAGGCTTCATGACAATGACCTCTGACAAATATTACTAACCAAGGTTTTGCAGCAGTGTATGTGAGGGCAAGCAGTAGGAGAACGGATGTCACAGGTACACAGTAGTAAAATGACGCCACCACCCAGTGAGCATGCATGCTGTGTCAGACACTGCTCTAAGCATTTGACAGATCTAAATTCATTTCATCTCCCCAGCATTCCTTTGAAGCATTCTTATTCCCATTTTACAGATGAGGACATCAAGGTCAGAAAGGTTGAGTAACTTGCCTGAGATGGCAAAGCTGGTTGATGGAGGGCTCAGGCAGTCCGGCTCCTGAGTCCACACTTTTTACCACTTGACTGTACCTATGCATGATATAATTATAATTCAGGATATAATTATAATTCAGACCCAATGAACACAAAAGAAGCTGTGTGGGACAGTCGATCCTCTCTTCACAAGGCAAACTGTAATTTGGCTTCTGCAAAACATTAATAAGTTTCATTTGGAATGTTATGGGTTTTGCGCTTCATGTTTAATTTGTAGATTTTTTCTCTTTTTTTTTTGGCCACACAGAGAGGCTTGTGGGATCTTAGTTCCCCGAGCAGGGATTGAACCTGGGCCCTGGCAGTGAAAGCGCGGAGTCCTAACCACTGGACCACCAGGGAATTCCCAGTTTATAGATGTTTTGACTCTATAGCTGTAAGAGTTTTAAGCACAACATGTTTATGCCTAATTTTAAGTTATATACATTTAAGTAGCACAACAACTTAAGCAAACTCTTACGTGTTGGTGAGAATCTTTACCATTAAAACATATACTTTAAGAAATGCTGGTCTCTGTGAATGCTCCAAGACAAACTTCCAGCCCAGCTCTAAGAATGATGGCGCTGGCTGCGTGCTTGTGTGTGTGTGTGTGTGTGTGTGTGTGTGTGTGTGTGTGTGTGGTGTCTGCCGCTTCCTCACATCACTGTCCAGTGTTGGTCTGTACATCCTGACCCTCTTCCCTTGAGTTCCCCTGGAATACCCAGGACAACACTTCCCATGCAGGGTGGATGGTCACTGATTCAGTGACCTTAAGCTGGAATTTTCCAATCACAAGACTCATGAAAGATAAAGGCGAGGCACATGACAAAGAGAAGGCTGGCTGGTCTGCGGGAGGAGGGAGAGACAACCAAGGGCTAAGACAGGTGACTGAGCCTCAGTCACGCCATGGGCCCAGCCATCTCTGGGGCGGGGGCTGCTCCTTCCCAGCACGTTATATCTAATCCTTCCGTTTGACATGTGAAAATTCTATCTGATGTGCTCAATGTTCAGAGGCCATTTCTGGGACCTACCAGACATTCTTATGTGTGCATCTCACTCATGGGTATCTCACTTGATTCTCAAACAGCCCTATGAGGGAATTTCCATTTTAAAGACGAAGAAACAATAAAATAGGTAACTAATAAGGACCTACTGTATAGCACAGGGAACTCTACTCAGTATTCTGTAATGACCTATATGGGAAAAGAATCTAAAATGAGTGGATATAAGAATATGTGTAACTGAATCACTTTGCTGTACAGCAGAAACTGAAACAACATTGTAAATCAACTCTACTCCAATAAAAATTTAAAAAAAAAGAAAAAAGAAAAAGATGAAGAAACAGAACCTCAAGAAGAGTTAGCCATGTACGAGACATAACTGGGCTTGTACGTGGTGGAACGGGGCTTGAAACTAGATCTGCTCCAGGGCCAGTCCATGACACCCAATCCTGGTGTGATTCCCACACCGGGTGGGAGCCCTGTAAAGACCTGAACCAAGGTGGGGGGAAGGGTGGGGAACAGCAGGAGTGGAAAGGTCCTAAACACAGCTGATGTAACACAGGTCCTACTAGAGGAAATGCTTCAGAGACGGCTACCATTTTTTACCTATGAGACGAGCAAATTTCCAAAAGTTTGATGATACCTTCTGTTGACAAGGCTGAGAGGACACAAGCACAACCCTGATGGAGCGCAAATAGGCAATATCTGTGAAAATTACAAATTAATTTATTCCTTGGCTCAGCAATTTTGCTTCTGGGAATTTACTGAACAGAGATAGCTTGCGTAGGCCTAAAGGACCACATACACAGGTTATTTATAGAAATACTGAACTCCAATGTCCATTAAACTCAGGGCTGATTCAATAAACTAAGGTACATTCATACAATGGAAAAATCTGTAACAGGAAAAAAAAAAAAAAAAAGAAGCTCTGATATGAAAAGATCTCCCAAACAAGGTATAGAATAATTTATACTAGATTTCGTGGAAAGAAAGGAATAAGAAATAAGAAAGATAATAACCTATAAGGGAAAAGAATCTGAAAAACAATATATTATATATATATATATATATATAATATATATATAACATATTTATATGTATGTATAAATAACTGAATTACTGTGCTGTACACCTGAAACTAACACAACATTGTAAATCAACTATACTTCAATTTAAAAAAAAAAGAAAGGGCTTCCCTGGTGGCGCAGTGGTTGAGAGTCCGCCTGCCGATGCAGGGGACGCGGGTTTGTGCCCCAGTCCGGGAAGATCCCACATGCCGCGGAGCGGCTGGGCCCGTGAGCCATGGCCGCTGGGCCTGCGCGTCTGGAGCCTGTGCTCCGCGACGGGAGAGGCCACAACAGTGAGAGGCCCGCGTACTGAAAAAAAAAAAAAAAA